TCATGCACCTGGATGTCTGTGCGGCTCTATAATGCACCACCTTCATCCCAACTGACGCCCTTCCTCTTGCATGCCGGAAAGAATCGAAGCACGGCCAATATGACCCAAGTGTTTGGCTACAGCGTAGGGATCATTTTCACTAATAGCGATCTGCGAAATTAGTGCAAAAACGCATGATCGCACCGGAGAGCTTTCCAGCCTGGGTTTTCACAGTCTTGGATTCCAAGTGGTTTTATCTGGAGGATTAGTGGACATGGTGATTTTAATTCATCATTCGATAGAGTTTAGCAATTTCATCCTGAAAACAAGCATATTTCATCATATCTCAGGAATAAAACTTCTACAACAGCACTCAAAGCACAAGTAATTTCACTTATGGTTTAACAAGACTTCAGAAATGTCCTTTATGAGCGCTTTCAAGATCTAAGCAAATCTCTTCTCACTTCATTCCATATTCAGAAAGCTTACTGTATTTTTTAAAGCTCATATGGTCTCCAAAGATTCGGCTTTTGGAGTGGATAAATCTGTTGCAATTTAGCTCTACATTTAGCTATACTGCTCTGCAGTTTTACTCCCAGCTCAAGCACACTTTTGGCTATTGTGAATTTGATTGACTTTAACGACCACTTTTTTGTCGTTGTGAATACCCGTATAATAAATCGCCCTTTTCATTCATCAAACTTCCACTGAATGCAGACGGGAAAAACAAGTTAATAAAATGATGAGTGCGGGAAATTTAGAGGAAGCTGGTGACACCGGTGTTTGATCGATGCCCGCTGATTCGAAAGTTAGCAGTGCACGATGAGCGTGTCTTGTGGAAGGTGGATCGTGAAGTCCTGCGGAGCCTGGTCAACATCAACGAGCTCCACATCTCCAGCAATTTCTTCGCCGAGTAATTTATTTCACCAAGCACCAGTAGTTGATGGCGGTAACTCCAAACGTTCAATGACAAGAAGCTTGACAAAGCTTTAGGCAGTGTTCAGCTAAGCCTCGCTGGTATTAGAGGATTCAATTTCGGTTGCTCAATCTCGTTTGTTTCGATTCGTAAGAAGTTCCTATAGTCACGTAGGGGCCACGCACACCTGGGCGGCTGAATTTGAAATCTTCAGCAAGTACCTGCACAGGGAATATCTCTACAAAGTTTCAGCCCCTTAGCTCATGTGGTTTCCGAGGTCGCGTTCCAGCTGTACTCCTGCGGCTGATGGCCATCGTTACTGATAACCCGCGAAAAGTCGGTAAAGAAGCTGTCACAAACAAAAAGATGCATACTGCCTATTGGAGGCTCAGGATCGCAAAAAGAAGCTGGTGTAGTGGGTAGCACGTTGCGCCCAGATGTGAGGGGGAGTGGTTCGATTTCCTCCAGATCCATAACCACTTTCGAAAAGAGATCCCACGCGGTTACTACATGCGTAACGACGGTCTCCAGATGCGCTGAAAGACGATGTAGATGGATATAACATATCTGGAATTCTTTTCTGGAAAAAATAAAAATGAAAGGTGGACAGTGAGTCCCAGAATCTGCGGGTTGGGTTAACCACAGCTTTGGCCACAGAATCCTTGCAGCAATACTCATCGATTATGTACAGGCTCGTGGCGATAGCTGATCACAGCAGCAGGTACACTTGAATTCTACAAAATGTCAATAGCCTTCATTTTTCTCGCAGGCAACATTGCTGCTTCCAGAGGCTCATCGGATGCGACAATTGCTGCTCTTTTCTCGTTCCCGAGGCTGCAAGTGCTGCACATACAGCAGCGATACAGCGAGGAAAAATGCCAGCTGAACATTGTGCGTCCTCATCACGTTCTTGAGATTGCTTCCGCTTCTCTCAGCGACCTCAAATTGCAGGTAAGGAACTAAAAATTCTGCTAGTACAATCCTTAAGCCTACAGTGTCTCAGGATTCCAAGAGCAGCCAACCTCACTGAACCTCAGAAAGCTTCACTGAACTCAGATTCTGATCTCAAAGACAAGCTTTCATCTTTTGTGCTTCAGATAACATTTCACTTGTTCCACAGTTGCAAGCGGTTAACTGGTACTAGCAAAGAGATGCACACCATCAACTCGCTTGTAAGCAAACCTCATAAGATGGAGCCATCGATAGATTTGCCAGCGAGTGGTTGCTGTTGGCATTTGCTATCACTCGGACTATTCCTCGAGTGCTTCCACCTCTCGCTGTGAGCAAAATATGGAAGAGGTTTTGACTTATGACCCATAAAGGTGGTTCACAGCATAAGGTCAGGGGACGGGATGTAAACACATCATAAGGAGAATTAAAATTCACATGTTGCTGAGGTGTGAGCGACTGAACGTCGGGATTTTAACTCTTTGTTTTTTTGATCCCGAAAATGCAGAAACGACATTTAACAGAAAAATTCACTAGAACGGCCGGAACGTCCTCGAGCTGAGGCTGATTTTAATAACAACCACATCAAATTAGCAGCAAGTGTTTGCCTGCTGAACAAGACTGTGCAGAAGACAAAAGCCCGCGCCAGTCTCCTGCAGCAACGGATTATGAGGGCAATTTTGCTTACAGGGTGTGGTTGTAACGGCGCAAGCACTGGAATTAATTTGTTCAAAGTATCGGAACACTCTGGAATCACTGTGCTTGCTCGGCGGTCTCGTGTCGACCTCAGACTTGCACCGATGCTTCCAGGCAATTAGTAAGTGTAGTGAGTCAACTCATCAGCTTATGGCGCATTTTAGGACTTAGTTTACTTCGTCATTTTGATCAGCAGCAATTTACCGCACAACTATATCAGG